ATTTATCAACCAGAGTTGGATGAATGGCTGAGTTGACCATGAGCTGAGCTTTCCGGTAGAACTTGTCCTCAGTGGGACTCGAACCCGGGCGTTGGGTGCGAGAGACAGAGCCACCACAGATAGCCACGTTGCCTGGGCAGGGTGGTATGGAAGGTCGGCTGTCGCCCAAGCAGCACACTCCTCTCTCTTCGCAGCCGGGATAATCAATGGAAAGACCTGAGCCTATACTTTCAAGAAAAGTTAAGAGATCGTAAGTTTATCAGCCAATCACTGACGGCCTTTCAAGCAAAATCCATCAATCATAGACAAGAAAATAGAGCGTAAGTACTTACGTTCACTTAGCGAATTTTGAAAGTATGGGAGAAGGTCAATGCAAATTGGACCCGGCTGCGCCGCAGGAGTTGCCGATGTTGTTGTTCCAGGTCAACTCGCCTTAGGGACTCCAGCTCCTGATTTGCTGTCGGGGTTTACTCCTTTAGCCTTTCCCATATGGGGAGGTTAGCCGCAAGGCAGCAGAGGTTTGGGTTCGGAGTTACCTTCTCCTAGATGAGCAGCTATATACCTTCCAAGGTTGACGAGCCTCATCTGCCCGAGCTGGTACTTGAGAGCCTATCAGAATTAATATTATCAATATAATAACTATATTACCATTTTTATTTGTAATATTCTTTTGATATTGTTGTTATTCCATTTTGTTCATGTCGTGCCTTTGTTCTAACAACCTTCCAACACCTCAGGTGTTGCTCGGCGCCATCATTTATCAATCCATCAATAAACATATTGAATCTTCGTATTCTTTACTCCAACCTAAATAATAGATATTCACACTAATTAATTAGGAAAGATGGACGGCCGTTTGTAACTTCTAAATCCAATCTTTAACCCCTTTAGGGGTTAAAGATTGGATTGGAAGCTCTTTCTTCAGCACTATTTGGCTAAACCCTTTGTGTACAGACATTCTTCTTCGTCAGAGCTCATCACTACTAAAGGCCTGATAACGATTTTTATCTTCTGTGTTCAAAAGGAGGAATCTCAGTCATGCAGCAATGAGCGTTTTACTGATAAATGTGAGGTGGGGTGTAGCAGAAAAGCTGTTTGCGTCAGTCATGGGTAGCAGTCAGGATCTAAAGTCTAATGCCCGGAAGTTGCAGTGAGGGAGAGACAATTATGTTTGATCAAGCGCTTATGTAAGATATGGTCAGCAACAAACGTTCGACGCAAGTAGCGGTCAACAGCAATGGTTAAATTTATGATTTGATAATTACGAAGCGGTATCTGCAGATGATGTGTTGAGTTAACATCGATTTATGTTATCAGAAAAACTCAAAGAAAATAATCAGAAAGTCCATTTCAAACTAGGCGCCACATTTCATAACTAATCAGTGAATACATTATTATTAAAACTTGTTGTTTATTTTCAGTTTCTGTTTCAAGAGTGCGGGCGGCTAAATAAAAAATGTGGAGATCACAAGAAGTTTTCCCGAAGCAACAAAAGTTAAAAAAAATTATTTTAAAGTAGGTAAGGTAAGTATATCATGATTTTTGAGAGCACATCGGAAAGTTTATAAGTACAATTGGTTTATTTTCACACAAACAAGCTTCGAAGATGAAAGATATTCTTACGATTCGATCAGCTCAGAAAAGTTAAGCTTCAATAACTGAAGTTTTTATACGAATAAAATCGGAATAAATGTGTTTGTGAGTTACTCCTTCAGCGGGCAAACAAATGCTCAAAATTTAGAGGTCCCATATGGACGGAGCCTCTGCTAACCTCGACTTCATCGCATTCTGCTCCGACGTGAAACTGAAATTTGGATATCACGTTTTGCAGTTCCAATTGTTGATGCCCGACTTTCTGTTTCAATAAATAAGTAGCAAAAACTATAAACTCAAACGAGAATGATGAACACTGATGGGATGACGGTGTACGTTCTTTGAATGGAGCTTACGTCGCCTGTACGTTTTCCGGTGTTTGGGAAATAAACGTATGTTTCTGGTTTAGAAGAAGGAATACAGAAACCCAAAGGACTTCAGTCCTTCTTTGCCTTTGGTTTACGTCTCTGTACTGCAGTGTCGGGCGAACTTTTAATTATAGTGAGCAACTTGAACTTTCCACCCAGTAGCGGCGTACCACCGAGTACTATCCTAACTGATGCAAGCTGTCAAAAACTTGTATTAATTGTAGTTGATTTTGTGTGATGTGCAAAAAAGTTGGAAAATGAAGAGAATTTAGCTTTGGATTTAGTGATGACGTACGCAGGAGCACGTGGGTGGCGTGTGGCAATTGTGGAAAATCGTTGCCATGTTCTCTTCTGTCAGGCCGTCTATATTTCTGTGAAGCAAAACATTACTGAAATACATGAAGACAGTGAAATTGTCGACGTACCAATTGGGATGTCCCCGTGTTGACATACCATTTACAATGTCCTCGTGTTGACATACCACTTGCAATGTCCTCGTGTTGACATACCATTTGCAATGTCCTCGTGTTGACATACCACTTGCAATATCCTAGTCTATCACTAATGGTACGCGCGCCTAAGTTCCCCAGTACAGTTGACTGCAAAGTTACTCATCCACATTCAGAACAAACGGACAATAATTTACGCAAAGTTCAATTCATGTTTATTCGACATGAAGCTTATGATAACTTTTATCTCGTAATTACCGATATTTTAGATAACTATATCATCACCGTAATTCCAGGTGTGATGCCACAGATTATCAGTTTGCATAATAAGTTCAATTCAATCAAGTTCAATTTGGCAAATAAGGCTATTCACAAGGCGGAGCTTGCACACTCGAGACATCAAAATAACGCATTTACAATAACGTCAAACGGGACTCAGAAGTTTCTGCGGTTTCCACATTTGCGTGCATTTATGGGGTGTAATTTAATGCGCAAACTATCCTCTTTAACACGTTGACTCCGCAGTGGTACATATGGGAACCACGAAATGCATTTATCCAGGACTTATTGGTACATAATTCAGGTTGCCTAAAATTGGCCAAATCCGAGAATAAAAAAGGCCAATAAAGGCCGATAACTCAATATATAATAAATTATGTGTAGGGTCCGATATAAAAATTCCATTTTGTTTTCTTTTTGCAGTATTTAAAATTTAATTAGGAGGTACCCCTATCATAAATTTTAACTGGCCAACGAAAATTGAGAAAAACTAAATCGCGCAATTTGTCCGAAAAAAAAGACCGCCTGGTAACTCTGTTTAAAAATAGTAAAAAAAAATAAAATAATTGTACAAGATGAAGCAATCGGAGTCAACGTGTTAAATAAAATTAGCAACATAGAGGTCTAGAACCAGATTCTATAGGGCGACCTAGGCCTAAAACAAGTTTCTATAAGCCATATTAACCTAACTTAAAAAGGCTTCGGCAAAAACAATTATTTTTAATTAGTAACCCGAACACTCTTTTTAATGGAAACTAATGGCTAGCATTTCTTTCATAAGGAAATTTAATGATGCCGAACTAGAACCAAAAGCGCACGCAGCAGTGGGAGGGTAAACAATAATATGCATGCGGTGAGTATAAAACATTCATTCTAGTTGCCTTGGTAATCTAATGTACTTGATTCACTCAGTCGCTCGTCTGTCGAAGAATGCATAACTCACGTGATGATAACGTGACACTAATATAACATGTCTACAACGTGACACGAATATAACATGTCTACAACGTGACACGAATATCACATGTCCACAACGTGACACGAATATAACATGTCTACAACGTGACGCGAATATAACATGTCTACAACGTGACACGAATATAACATGTCTACAACGTAACACGATTATAACATGTCTACAACGTGACGCGAATATAACATGTCTACAACGTGACACGAATATAACATGTCTACAACGTGACACGAATATAACATGTCCACAACGTGACAAGAATATCACATGTCCACAAAAGTAGGATATGTACACGGGTGAAGACTGCATAAGGCCAGAAAGAAATTATCTCGAGTGTAAGTTGTCATTCGAGTTCAATTTCTTGCTTTACATTACAAGATAAATAAAATCATGAAATGATTCAAGGATGAATTACTGACTTTAGATATGACGATGGTACCGTAAGTCAGGGTTGAGAGCTGCGATTGGTTGGAGATCTAAATTATGTTCTTATTTCGGGATACCAAACACAGAGGATTTTTTAGTCGCTAATATACAATACAAAATTTGCGGTTAAATTATACTTGATGATAAACAGTAATTCGCTAAGATGCAATACAAAAATTTATGAGAGTAAATCAAAAATACTTCAATATGCAATAAATAATTTATAGGTCAATGATCCACGGACCTGGTTATTACAAGTAAAAACCTTAATCGCACGTTCCGCATATCTAGCTTTCTCTTTCTCAATTCAGCTTAATAATTATGTAGTTAATGGCAGATCCGACGTCGTAATTATTCTATATTATCTGGTCACCCTATGAGGCAACATCAAAAATTGTATTCAGTAATGCGTGATTCCATCAAGAATAATTCTGTGCAAACGAAATGAATGCCTGGGTTCAAAACTACGAATAAAATTACTCATTGGAATTAATGGGCAGAATTTAAAGAGGCGTATGGGCGGCCACCGTCGCTCGGGCCGATAATATAAAAAGTATACTACTGAGAAGTGTGCGGAATGGAATGCGTATGAAAGCATTGGTAAATCCTTCATACATAATTGTATGACCATAGTAATGCTGCAGGGCTCCGGGAAGTGGAGTCCCGGAAGTGGAACGAACGAAACCTTTAAAAAGTTATTTATACATTTTTTAAAGTTAAGAAGAAGGCGTAGATAATAATAGAGAAGGTGAAAGAATATAAGATAAGCGATAGAATTAACATACGATATAAATAGGTTTCGTACTCTATAGTGAGAAGTGAGAAGGGCTCATTAGGTTCAGCCTGGTTTATCAACTTTGGGCTCGATAGCAATGGAACCAAAAGCTGATAGATGAATTACCTAAATTCTTCTCATGACAGATCAAAAGCAGCGACAACAAACCGGCTAAAATGAATTAAAATCTACGGTACTTCCCCATACAAAATGGCTTAGGCAACTACATTAACGGACTAGAGAATAATAATAGAATCAAATAAGGCACACAAAAACCTACAACCTCACTAGTACAATAACAAAGAAATCATGATTACATCAATAGTGACGTCAGTGATGATATGACACTTTAATTATCGCTAGGCAAAAGCGTCCGATGGACGAAGTGAACGCGTCTAAAGCCGAGAGAAACTAACGCTCTAGGGAGGGTATACAACGCCCAGCATAGGGCAGTAGCTTATAAAACAACACTAATATTTTTCGTTACGAAATCGTAGTTTTTTGATAGGTGGGTCTCATATTCAACTTTAATGTCATCACTTGAGATTTTATAATTATGTTATAATTTTGTAAGAATTTAGTAGCAGATCAAAAACAAACTAATCACAATAATTTGTGATTAGTTTTAGTTTTCTTGCCGCATCATTTAAATTATGATTCTTCGTGAATATCATCATAAAATTCGGCACAACATCCGATAAATTATACAACATTGCATGGAAGAATGACCTAAATATATATAGATACAATATGTGTTCAAATTATTCATGATCAAATGAAACTTCGTAATCGTTATATCAATGGCGGTTACTGAAGTTATTGCTCAACATACAGTATTTACGCTTACGATTGTCGAGAATAATAAGGTTACATTTCTAGGAATCACGTTAGCTATTTTCTTCTAACTGCCGACGGAGGAGGTCTGACTGTTCTTGAACCAGAACCTGAAGCTCGGTAGAAGAACCCTAAGTTGATTAGGTTCTCCGTAACTCTTGATATGACGGGATCCTTATGTCTCCAGATCGTGTCGTCAAAGATGGTGGAGTTCTTGTAGTCATCGCAGGATTTCTTCAGGGTTTTCACGCAGTCTGCGCGATAGTGCTGAAGTTGAGCGTCTTCGGTGTCTATGGGGAAAGACGAACAAGCCCCACCTAAGCAAGCAAGTGGAAAATGGTTGTGTAAGGTTAGCACTCGTTCTGGATTATGGAAACACTTTATGTAAGCACCTGGTTTGGTGTAGTTCTTGGCTCGGTACACATGTTGGAACATATGCATGTACTGAGGTATGTCTTTGAAGTGTACGTGACTCACATCGCTCGATTGAGGCGTGTCGAAAAAGTAGACATTGCGAACGTTGTACGACGCACGTTCTACCTTTTTTACTTTCAGTGCCTTCGCTAAAACGTTGTCCATGAGGTCTTTCCACAGCATGTTATTTCCTTTAGGCATGATAACTTCATCAATGTCTAGTACTGCTATATACTTGTATCTGTACATGTTTTTGTAGAGGCAGTCGTTGTAAGGTATCAGCTCGTTTTGACGTTTGTTGGTTAGTTTGTTCTTCAAGTACATGTGGATGAGACCTTTGATGTTAGGTTGGTAGCCAGGCAGTGTGATTGGGGTCACGTCTACCAATCCGAGTTCTTTATAATAGTTCAGCACTTTTGTTATGTTTGGATGAACTTCCAGCTCATAAAGGAAGATCTTTTCGGCACCAAGGTGGCGCAACGTCTCGAACCACTCCACTAGCCTCACACTCAAATCTTCGTTTAGGAAATCGAGGCCCTTCACGCAAACGGCGAATTCACCTTTCTTTCCGTTTTCAGGTACGTTGTTAATTACCCTTAGATTAGTGACAGCCATATCACACGGCTGCTCAACAAGAGACACTGATTCTGGCACAAGATGCCGAAACCCAACTGGAATTTGACATGACACCAAGTAAGGTTGGAAGAGTCCATTCTTGTGATTACCCCACTTCTTGTACCAAACATACTTGTACTCGAACACCTTAGCGAAAACAGGGGCCTTCAATCCCTCAAACCACAGTTGACAAATTGTCTTTACTTTTGGCTCAAGTCGGTTGATCATACCAAGCATCCTCACCACAGGCTTCATGGCCACTAAGGTTCTGTTATCGTAGTACGCTCCATACAGGTAGAAAGTTCCGTTCGAGGTTTTCAAAGTTTGCCAGTAAACATTATTGAATCCTATATCCCAGAGGGTTGGGAACTTTGCGCAAGTTTTATTCTTGGCAGGAAATTTGTTGTTCAAGGTTTGCCAGTATCGTATCGGCAAGTTAGGAACTTCATTCTGCAGAATCTTGGCAAAGTCTGAATCTGAGAGAGCCGGCGAGTTGTCGACAAGAGGTTCAGCCTCGAGAAGGTTGAACTCCGTCGTGACATTGGGTTGCCCATCTGTAGTCCCTGATATCAAAGGACCTCCTCTCGTGATGATCTTCTGCAGCAGAAGACGTCCAGTCATCGTGTTGGTTGGCGCGTACTCAGTTGTGGTCGAATACCTGCACAAACAGGGCAATATTAGCGGAATATTGTAATACGCAATACGTGCACAAAAAGGTTTACATTAGCGGCATTTATCGTGAGTAAAGAAATCGGCACTCTGGTAAATATTTTGTGCAAAATTTTGCTTACATCTTAAAAAAAGAACTTTTATTTTACCTAGTTGACAACAAAAAGTTGGTTGCTCATGTGATTATGTATGTTTTATTGTATTAAAGTATATAAATGTTATTAATGTGGCAACAGAACAATCTATGGTTTGGGATTGTAACTTAACTAATAAATGTTGAATTAATTCGATAAAATTTCAATAGTAACGTCAACGAGGAAGAGCTGGAGCACAAACAACTTGATAAATTAATTGATCATAGCAAAATTTGAAATTCCAATTAGTAATGGTAAAAAATGCCAGGTGTGTCTGCTCAGATAGGGAAACCAAACCATCGGGATAGGATTCAATTTCATTGCTCGGCACTGCATCAGGAATTGTAGCTGCAGTGCCCATTTAATCCTAAGACGCATGAAGGCTATGATTGAGAGCATAAAGCATTACAATCCGTTATAAATTACGTCTATAAATATGAAGAAGCCCTCTAGAAGTTTACAAACGATAATAAACTATCACTAACTGTATCTAGAAGTATACGAACTATAATAAATTATCACTAATCGTATCAAGAGAATCGCCCACATTCCGAAATGAGGCGCGTAATTGACCCCTAGAGCAGCAGCTGCGTCAGGGCGCCGTTTAGGGGAGTCTGTTGCGCACATGGCGCGCGTAACGGGAGACTCGCACCGCTTGACTGGAGCAGCGAGGGATGGGGGAGAGTGGGGATGGGTAGAGTGGGGATGGGGAGAGTGGGGATGGGGAGAGTGGTTTTTTTAATTGAAGCCAAAGTTTAATAGGAAAAATATCGTCCATAAAAACTAGTATATCACAGATTAAAGGGACCCCTCTAAGAAAAAGGCACAGGCAACATGGTGGTGCAGAAGGAACAAAAAGAATGTGCAGATAGCATGGGAGGTGCAGAGCCCGATGAAAGAGCAGATAACGCGGAAGAGATAACGAGGAAGTTAGGCAGGAAAGGTCACGTAAGGTCAGAGGTCCCCGAGGTTGTCTGCTGTTCGATCTCGAATCACCAGCAACATTTTCGCAGGCTTTTTCCATGTACGCAAAATTAGACCGCGGAATTTGCTGCGGCCGTGCAAATCATGGCGGTCAATGGCTGTCCGTTAGCCTGCATCGCCTCGCCGGTAATGCCAGCGATCGAGGGCATTAAAAAACTTAAGTAACCCAAGCGAACAGTAGAAAATTATGAAAGAAAATTGAGTAATTAGACAGAATTGAAAATTAGATTTTATTTAAGGTATAATAATAACGTTAAAATCCCGTTAAATGCCATTCTTCCCAATTACAAATTTATTAACTGTAGAATTGGAAGAAAGCTTGAGAAAATTGGACAATTTACAGCGGTGAAAATTTTTTGAAACTCAGAGGAGAGGGATTGATGTATGAAAGTTTCTATATTTACTCTATATTTAGGTGAATGCTTCACTTGTGATACTCTATCCCAGACACACATACTCTATACAAGACACGTGTACAGAACCGTAAGTGAATAAATGTTAACAATCGTCGAATAAATATAAGCTGGTAAAAGATATTCATTAATAATGCATGGTAATGAGGGAAAAAATCGGAACAGTACAAAGAACATGTAGAACGTATATTTTGTAATGAAAATGAATGAAGTAGAAGAGCTGTTCACGAAGACGACGTTGAACGTGTACTAAGGAATGGAAGTAGAGTGAAGTAGAAATACTTGAAGACAATGTAGAACATGTACTGAAGACTGGAAGTAGAGTGTAGTAGAAGTAGAAGTACCTGAAGACGACGTGGAACATATAATATGGAATGGAAGTTGAGTGATGTAGAAGTACCAGAAGACAATGTAGAACGTGTACCAAGGAATGGAAGTAGAGAGAAGTAGAAGTAGAAGTACCTGAAGACGACGTGGAACATATAATATGGAATGGAAGTAGAGAGAAGTAGAAGTAGAAGTACCTGAAGACGACGTAGAAGGCTGTGCACCATATCAGCACCAGGTAGAACAGCTTGCGCACGCTGCACGCCTGTAAGCTCCTCAGGCATACTCGATCCAGCCTCATGGTGCGCAGTTCGTTGACTTGTAGAATTTATGTGCTTGGCTGTTTTGTTTTTACGTGTTGTTGTTATGACTTACGTGTTTTACGTGTTGTTGTTATGTCTTGTTATGTACGAGCTCCACAACGAGACACGATATGAAATCAAGAGTTTTCCAACGAACTGGTGGAAAACTTCAGGTTTTTGTTTCCATTGTGTGGAAGTTTTCGTTGCCGTTGATGGGTAGTGAAGATAAAAGAGGGAACGTTTTAATGGGATTTCAAAATGATTAAAACCTTTGATACTATTTTTGTTTGTGGTGAGATGTGTATTTACTTGTTTGTATCAAATATTTTATAGGTGATTTGTATTTCGGTTCGTCAGTTGAACTGAATTAAGTCGCTTATGCGGCCGTTGATGTTTAGCTCGACGTGGAGCCTGCAAAGGAAAAAAAAATCATTAAGCATCAGACGAAAACAATCATTAAATTAAAGAAGAAGAGGAAGATGAAATTATAATTTTTTCAATTAAGATACGCTCTCATATGTGTATTTTTAATAATAGCATTTTTAAATTCAGCGAAACTGTTTAATTCTAGTACAGAAAGATGACTTTTTATCAACAAAATTCCGGACGATTAGTTAAAGATGAAGATAGTTCGTTGTAATACGCCCAAGAGTTGGATATCAAAAACGTGTTCTTTATTAAAGATTTGTAATTACATTTGAAATTTGGAAAGCGTGTGAACTGATAGCCCTTAATACCATTCGGGAGGAGTGGGTGTGTATAGTCAATATTTGACATCAACGTTGTCACATAGCAGATACTGCACTTACTTCGTCACTCGGCAATAAAAACTATATAATAGCGATCAGAACTATAATTTTTGGGTTAGATAGCCACATTATTACGACAAGGCTGTTTTGATCGCGATAGAAAAATGTGGCGCAGTTTTGTTTATGAAATACAATGTTACTGTTGACTCAAGTGATATGGTTATGGTATTGGCTTGAAGGTAGTGCTACCTTCTCAGCGCCCACATCGAGCTCATCGTTCTAAATATAAATAAACCATATAAAAAATTAAATCTAGGGCAGCACGGGGCCCCACGGCCTTTAGGGAATGTCAGGGTCGGTGTGGGGTTAGGTTAACAGTAAACAGGGTCGAGGGGGGAGGGTTAAGGTTAACAGTAAACAGATGCGGTGCTCGACGCATCGCCCTGACATCTAACCCTTAATAGGACACGCCCGCCAAAGCAGCTTAAGAAAATAAGAGTTTTTTTGCACGCTGGATTGAATTCCATCAAGGAGCCTGTAAAATAATCCACTGGACGCTTACTGAAATTTCCTAAATTATTTCGAACCATACAGTCATCGTATAGCCTATATATTATCGTCGTAACTTTCATTCTCGCATTATCTTCCGCTATCACCATAAGTTTTAAATGATCGTAATTTTAACTATCGTCATTAATTGCAAGATATTCAAAACTTTCATCATCGCAAAAACTTTTATGATCATCTTAGCTTTAATGCGCATCGTAATGCCTATAGGGTGACCGGAAAAAAACTTTGATAATTAATATATATAATCTATTGCTGTGCCACCGTCCGAGTCAATAATTGGTAAAGGGCAGCATTCCAAGCTGTGTGATGCTGTGTGATGCTGTGTGATGCTGTGTGATGCTGTGTGATGCTGTGCGATGCTGTGTGATGCTGTGTGATGCTGTGTGATGCTGTGTGATGCTGTGTGATGCTGTGTGATGCTGTGTGATGTACAGTGTAGAATATAATATACATAATATATAACATAAACTATGCACCACGCGCATAGTTTGTGTAGAATATAATGTGTTGCCCATACATGTATTGTGGTGCATAAGTGATGATATTGTGAAGAGAATTGCACATACAAATATTAATGCAGTATTCTGCACCACTCATACAGACACTTTAATGAACACATGAGTATATTATACAGCGTTCTGCACCACTCATACAGGCACTCTAATGCACACATGAGTATATAATGCATCTTTCTGCCCCACTCATACAGACACTCTAATGAACACATGAGTATACAATGCAGTATTCTGCACAATTCACACAGGTATTCTAATGCACACATGCGTATATTATACAGTATTCAGCACAATTCACACAGGTATTCTGCACACCGAGTCCGGCATCCGGGCCACTGAAGCAGTGCACTATTAGCGAGCGCCGCGAATTTCCAGACCGGACCGGAAAACTTAGCTCAGAAAAGTTAGTCCGAGGCAGAACACATCCGGCGAAACACAACATAAAAGTTTGTCCTTAATTTCAGACCGAATGTTCGGTTAAATAGATTACAAGTTTATAATGGAAAGGAAACTTGCGGCCGCAAGACTTGATTTCAAATTATATATAAATAATAGAGCAGACCATCGTTAACTGGTCATTGGTTCCTGTCATTGAGGTTACGTGAAAATAGAAGAATTCTTCGCGCAGATAAATAATACAAGGTTGAGTGATGACCTGAGAATGTATTTTCAATAATAATTCTATATATATTGCGATAATAACTTATTTAAATGTTTAAGAAAATCATTTTATAACATCATTCTCTGGTTAATCAATCGCACTTTCATCATGCACAAATTTCGCTATATTATACTGGTATAAATATGATATATATTGCCCGATATGGCAGAGATTATTAATGACAAACGGCAAAAACGCTACGAAGTTCCGTAACAAGGAGACGAGTGAAGCGGCAAAAGAAAGATTACGACAGAAAATGAAAATTGGTGTTGAAAAAAAGTAAGAGTTTGAAAGAGGCAGACAAAGAGAATAAAAAACATGGAAAAGAGCGAGAGGAAGAGAGAGAGACAAACAGGTTTAAGTAGCTCCTTAGAAAGTGATGCCGAGAGGCGTTTCAGCAGCGGCCACAGCTTCTTTGCAAGGAGTCCGTGGTTAGAATTAAGGGGCGCCTTAATGAGGGGATTAAAAAGACCTTAGCAGGGGTTCTTAATGAAGAAAAAATGCTCCTGTGGAAAAAGGTCTATACCTAAGGTCAAAGAGTTCTAGTAACGAGCTGCATAACAATCAAAATAAAACGAAGCTGATCAACTGAAAGGGAGCTGCACACATTCACATGTAAGTAAAGGAGTAANCGTTCTGAAAAATCTGTCGTTCTGAAAAATCTGCCGTTCTGAAAAATCTGCCGTTCTGAAAAATCTGTCGTTCTGAAAAATCTGCCGTTCTGAAAAATCTGCCGTTCTGAAAAATCTGTCGTTCTGAAAAATCTGCCGTCTTCTGCCGTTAAAACAACAGACGAAGAATGTATTTAATCTTCTGCCTTTTAGAGATCAGACATTCAAAGAATTATTTCAGCATTCAGTGTTTTAGTAGGCAGTCTAATTTAACTGCCAATTTGCTGAGTCATGGTCTCACGTCCCAATTCCAGCGTGCGTGAGAAGAATAGCAGAGCTACCGGCCATTTGTCACAGCTAATGAGGCATTAGGTTTATTTTAAGCAGTAAGTAGGTGACTGGACCACACGCTCTACATTAATGTGATTAACATTAACATATGTCAATGTTAAACATTGTCAATGATAACCATTACAATCGCTGGCAACCATTACGATGTCTATGGTAATAATTAGAGAGATGATAATAATGATAAACTTTAAGACATTATAGCAAAGAAAGCCATTAGGAAGATGATAGCAATGATAAAAATTAGGATGATAATGTTAATGGTATCCTTTAGGAGATGGATGGATGGGCAACGTGTAATTGGAATGAAATGGCGCCTGACGAGGGCATTAGATGACGCTGCGAACGTGTTGAAATTAAGACACGGAGAAGAAGTACTGTACACAGAGCGTGACTCTGAGTCTGGGAGTCTGAGTCTGGGACTCTGAGTCTGGGACTCTGAGTCTGGAACTCTGCAGCTCTGACTTCGTGCCAGAGATTGTGTGCACAGAGTCTTGTATCAATACAGCAGGATGAATAGCCAATGAATTCAAGGTGAGTTTATTGAATACCTGCAGTGCAGATTTAGAGTATGAGTAGCACTGATGGAAATTAGACTGTAGTCCTGGAGTATATATAAGCTGGGTATTTTTAGCGCATTTTCTCATTTATGGAAAAAAGGCGTTATTGTGCTCGTCATGTCCGTCTGTCCGTGACATCACGTTTTCGTCGACGAGAAAATGCTCTCCGTCACTCACTGCAGTGAGTCCTGAGTTATATTTTCTGTAGTAAATATCAGAGCAACATCGGAGCACTCACTCAGAAACTTCAGTGGGACAACATCCAAATAGCAATACACTTTTTGCACGCCGTGTGTCATCATAACCCAGTTTGGCCGTGCAATAGAATGTATCAGTATTCATTCTTTGAACGTGCTATGGGCAAGTAAGTGTCGCTGTTTCGACAATATAACCTATTTATCGTTCAAAGAGCTTATACATGCAGATACGAATAAAAAAATTCGTTTTTCAGTCTGCATGGTGAACAATCGATGCAGAGCAAGCCTACAAACAGCCTCATATATCATCTTAAAATAAAGGAAAAAATAGCCTCTCAAATCCTCTTAAAATTAGAGAGAGAACATATATCATCTTAAAATTAAGGAAAAAATAGCCTCTTATATCCTTTTAAAATTAGAGAGAGAACATATATAATCTTAAAATAAATGAAAAAATAGCCTCTCATATCCTTTTAAAATTAGAGAGAAAAAAAGAATGCTAAAATACTTTACGGTATGACGCCATCGTGCCCCACTGCGCAGCGCCTACCTGACGCTGGGCTCCTGGAATGAAAGGTTAATGAAGGTTTAGGACTTCGAAGGTTAAGCGTCGCGTCCGCGGTACCGGAAATGCTTTAAAGTTATAACAATGAGGGTATAGGTAGAGGTAAGAAAGTAAGATGGTAAAGTTAGAAGGTAAAGGCGAGAGGATGGAAGTAAGCGGAAACGCTTTCATACGCGTCGTGGAGGCGCAATTCGGATGATCATCCTATAGAGAAAGTTGTTTGGAATTTAAACGAGCAGGTTTTAAAGTTTGTTAAAGATTATACACACTTAATAGTGAATACGGTGCATGTTCCATAACAGTGTTGGCCCCACTCATGTCATTTCAATGACGCACATCGTGGCGTAAAGAGCACAAAATCAAAATAAAAAACGCGTAAAAAACACAAAATGAAAACACTAAACACAATACAAAATTGAGCACCTATATTCATACAAATCTTCTACATTCTATCACTTATTCACCAACATTCATAAAATTATTCACATCCTTCACAAGATGACTCCATGCATCGTTGTTAAGTGAGTGCAGGCGATACAAAACGCGTAAAAAACACAAAATGAAATATCATATACGACACAAAATTGAGCGCATATAATAACAGAAATCACATAGATTCAATCACATATTCACCC